CCCCAGAGTGGGAGACACATCTAGCATTTGTATCGAAATCAGGAGAGAAATTTGTTGGAGGATGACCCAAAGCACGAAGCTTAAACCACTGAGCTTCTAACATATGAGGAAGTAACTGGATACAAGGCATTGAAATTGTATCAACCTGCTTCTCAGGCTTTATATGTCTTTGCTGGTAAGTTTTACCCCATGGGTTCACTTGGAAACCAGAAACTAGCTGCTAGCAAGAAAATCCGAGAATATGAAGCTATGGGTGAGACCAGACCCACAAAGTATCTCATGATTTGAAAAAAAAAGTCCCATAGGCTGAGGATGAATGACAACTCCTGTTGCAATAACGTATACATGATCACTTTTCTTTTGCCGACACTGTCTTCAAAACTTTCATACCCGACTCAACCGAGTCTTCAACTGGCTATTTTTCCCCTTGAGGATTTCTGACTACATGCCATTGCTTGCATATCCCAAATAAACAACCCCATCTCATTCTTTTTATCTCACCCAATTCCCCACAAGGTTATTTCATAACTTGAATCTGATCAGGAAGCAGCGAGAATTCAAGATTGGCAGTTCTGAAAAGAAAACACCGGGCCTGCCTAAGGATTCCCCATTCTGAGTACCTTCTGAGTACCTTCTACGAATGCATGAAGATGCATGAGGTGAGTGAGAAAATTCTCCTTCTGATATGATTTGGACACCACAGTCTCTGGATTGATCTCGTCTTGGGCCTCGTCTCTAGATGACGTACTCTTTTCAATCGAATGATCAATTGCCCCAGAATAATATGCATAGAAGATTCCTTCAGGAGAACAACTGAATGCTTCTTTAAGTGAAAACTGCATCATCAGGCATACAACGCCACAAAAAACTAATACAGTTTGTCTTCTATCAAAACAAAAGAGACATCCACCTGGTGAAAGAGAGTTTTGGAAGAGACGCCAAACAGGTGTTGGGCTTTTATAACCCCTTTGTAGTCTTCAATATCAAAACGGGTGCCCCAGAATAGGAGGTGTATCTAGCATACATATCGTAATCAGAAGAGATGTTTGCTGGAGGAAGACCTCAAAGATCAGAGCTGGGAAGAACGGGGAATAATAGGATGTAATGCCTTGGGCTCGTATTAGCATGCTCATAAGGGTTCTCCTGTCTTGTCTTAAAAGCTTTGCCCCATGAATTCACTTGGGGAATAAAGACTGGCTCTTGTTGAACAAATTAGGGAACACAAAGTTATGGAGGATTCCCCTGATTAAAAGTCTGATGCCCCAGTGTGGTAATCACATCTGACATTGGTCAAAAAGAATGAAGCACTGATATAAGATCACATGGTAAATGGGAACCATCTCCTGATAAGATGTTCTAAGAACTCAGGATTGCGTAGCACTCCATGGTTAGAAGCAATTCCCAAAAGATGAGGGGAATAGAGAACCTTTACTGTGATAGTAGGTGCAATATTGTTGACATCATCATCAGAGCTTTCATGACCTATCTCATCTGAGTTTTCAATCAATTATCTTCCTGCTTGAAGATATTTTTGACTACAGGCCAAAGCTTGCATGTATATCATATGGAGTTATTCCCTAACTGATCCCTGAGCATGTGGTAGTAAGAATCAAAGCTAAACCTCCAAGGAGAACCATGTCTGAAAAAGAATCCCCAATCTTTGAGTAACTGTTATGGATGCATGAATATGCATGAACGGATGCCATGTCATGTTCCGTCATTTCCAAGGAATTTACGTGCTTTGATTTTACGTAAGTAAAAGATGGAAAAGTTTGGCATAAAGCTTACAAATACGATTCCTTGGAAATCACATAACATGTGTTATAAGTATGTGGTCAACCATGTTATGTATACAAAGACATGAGATCAAATGGGTTCAAGGTTCCATCATTTCTGAATATGATTGATGCACTGCTTCCGAACCATGTGAGTATCATCAGATTAGAGGTCTGGCGTGGCTTCCGCGTATATAAGATCCAAGTACTATGTAGATAACCCATTGTACAGGGTCAAGGCTTCTGGAACATCAGATAATGTTGAGCATTTTCTGAATGCGTTGGGAATGCCAAGATCAAAGGGCTCGAATGAACTTCCAAGTAATCAAGTCAGGAGCTCAGAAAATAAATCTGAGAACCAAATAGTCACAAACAGAATATCATATGCATAAGTCGTTGACAGAAGTCCAGAACATGATCATTAGAACCAATAGTCGTTGTCTGATCACAGTCTCTATCTGATCATGAGTCACCATTTGAACATAGCACCAACTGTACCTGTAATGACAAAACCCTCCCCACTCACGGGTGAAGACTAGGTCAGGGTAAGACAACGGTAACTCGAAAATCACGGGTCCGCCTGAAAGTACTATGGGCTTACCCACAGACGTGGGTGCCGATAGTAATTCATTTGAACCTCATCCGAGCATGGTATATGACATGACTGCACTAATCGGACCACGTCCTATAGCCGTCATGCCCCCACTCTACTCCTAGTGTCCTAGTGCACTCTGGCCTGGGTACTGGGCCTTTTACCTCAATAATGACATCCCCACCCAACATGGAAAACAGAGTCCAACATAATAGATAACAAATAGGGAAATCAATAAAATGCAATGCAAACTTATGCTCAGGCAAACATGTACAAATGAGTAAACTGAAAGCATAAAAATGAACACCCAAAGAAAAGAAAGCAAGAGCTAGGAGCGACTCCGGGATGGACTAGCATTTGGTCGACCTGTCCCCAGTGAAGTCGCCAACTGAAACAACCGGCTGAAAATCATCAAAACAATGAAGTCGCCATCGAACGTCTTTTATCCCACATGAAGGGAAAGGTAAACATCGAGAAAACCTGATGAGGGAGAAGTCACGGTCTTGCGACTGAGAGATCGGGTAAGGGAGTCTGTTACGCAAGGGGAAGGTATTAGCACCCCACACGCCCGTAGTACTCTACGATATCCACTCTTGTTATCTATCTTATGGGTGTGTTTAATCTATGCTTACTGTCTTCTATACTGCTAAGGGGAAAAGAATGTAGGGAAAATAAAATTGTGCTCGCTCGGGCCCTACCCCAATGCCTACGTATCCCTTTTTAGGAATCAGAGCAGCCGTAGTTCGGCTTATATATTTTTGTTTGTTTGTATTTTTTTTAATGAACAATATTGATTTCGCCTTCTGCCGCAACTCGACCGTTGGAGACTTACGCGTCAGCACAGAAGTGAATTAACATGCTCTTCTGAAAATTTTGGAAAGAAATGTGCCTGGACGCACAAAAAGTTTTGAATTTGTTTGTTTTTGAATGAACGATAGTAATTTCGTCTTCTGCCGCAACTCGACCGTTGGAGACTTACGCGTCAGCACAGAAGTGAATTAATATGCTCTTTTGAAAAAGGTTTTTTGAAAGGAAGGCCCGAAGGCAAAAAGAATTTTATTGGTTGATATTTTTGCTTGTAGATAATAGCTAGTTAACCTCAAGAGAGAGATTTTAGCCATTTCTCTACTTATTCATGAAATGAGTCTTTGAGACTTAAACCACACCAAAGCTTAGAATAAGAGATCAATAAGGTCGAGAAGAGACCCGCTTATCGTCTCACATACTTAACGAAGATATGATTCTCGTCAATAGATTTTTAGTATTTTGAAGTTTTGTAAAAAAAAAGAAATTTTTGTTTTAATGTATATGCAAAAAGGGAAGGAAAAGTCCAATGGGACTAGTCTATTCCTAAACCTAATTTTATCATGCGTTAGTAGACCTAAAGTTAGAATTTTGGGGGAATTCTACCTAATGTTAGCATGTATATTGTTTGCGATAAAGAAATGCAATAAAGTGCGAAATGAGGGATAAAATAGAGTTGCGGTGATACCGAAGGGAGGAGGTCCGTTGCCTCTTCGAAGCCACGTAAGTGATAAGAAAACTCTACAGAAGTTGCTCCGCATGAGTGATAAAAAATTAATCTCCAAGCATTTCCCATACAAACGACAATGACGTCCGCAAAAAGTGCAACCAAAGTAAAGAAATTCGAGATACTTCGCGTGAGCTGGCATCAATAAACAAACCATCATAGTTCGAATATTTGGAATAAGTGTCGCAACTTCGTCGATGTGAAAATAAATCACAATCGGAATCCAAAACATATCCACATATCAAATAATGAACCTGCATAAGACTCAGCTTAACAAACAAAGGTGAATCACAATTTTCAAGTAATCGAAAGATTATGAACTAATTTCCTAAAATCAAATAAAAAGCCTAAAAAAGTTTTATTGATTTTTGTAGTTTTTTATTATAAAAAAAATCCTAAATTTTATTTATTTATTTTTATTATATGTATTTTTACTACTTTTATTAATAAAATTGGAAGAAATTTAAACTAAAAGAAATTAGAAAAGAGTCAGAGGGGTGTAAGCCAATAATCCAGGGGTGTAGAAGAAATTTGGGCACTAGGCCCAGCCAAATAGGATCCATTCAAATTTTTGTTGCAAGCAATCAGGCTGCCAAAAATAATTGTTATGGGCTTTAGGGGTTGCAGTCCGGAAACAGTCTATGATGAAGAAAGCTGGCGCTGAGGCCCAGTAGTGTGATCCATGGTGTTAGTTTTATGCCAAAGCTTCAGCATTCCAAAAAAACTTGTGCAATGGGCCTAATGAAAAGAAGTTGGTCCAGTCCATAGAAATCCCAAGGTCCACACTCCAATTCCTCAACAACTTTCAACATTTTGTTTCAATAATAATAAAAAATAAAATTGAAAGAAAGGTATGATACACTGTCGTTTGGATAAGATTAGGGTTGAACCAATTGTGGCTCTCTAGCTTCTTTGTGAAACACAAACGCACTCCCTCCTCTTCTCTTTACAGCGGCGCGTACCTTCCCTTCCCTCCTTCATCCAATGTCGCCGCCACAAGCCAAGACCGACCCCGCTCTCTCGCGGCAGCGGAAACCTCTTCACCTTCGCCGTCGCGATTCTTCTCTCATGGTGCGGTTTCTTCATCATCTTCTTCTATGACATGGCGGCGGAAACCGATTCACCACCTCTTCATCGCCATCGGCCTTCTTCTTCTTCTCTGACGTAAATTCCGACGAGCATCTCCGTAGCCACCATCGCCCCTTTAACCTTCCCCAAATCTCTGATTGAAGGCGTGGAATTCCGGCGCGATGCTTGCCTACCTCCGGTGTCACCACAAGGTATCCACCTCTTTTTTGCTCTCTTTTCTTGTTCTACTTTGAATACCTTGTGACTTCATTTCACACTCCTTCTTCTACTCGAACTTCCGCGTGCGTTTTAGAGCTTGAACTGGTTATCGTTACTGTTATGCGTTATGCAGATGAAGATGGCGAGGTTGCTGAGGCTTGCAGTGAGAGTAAAAAACACAGAGTTGTAGTTGATTGATGAGCGAAGCTCGATAATGACGAAGGTGATGATGGAGCTGTGATATGATGATGTGTGTTTAGTAAGTGAGAGGTTTTGACGAAGATGAAGAGAAATTGAGAGAGAAGTCCGAGAAACGAGACTCAAAGCTCAGTGATGATGGTGGAAACCGCAAAGAATGGAGACTAAAGGGAGCGTTCACGAAAGATCAACTGGGACCCATTTGATATGCTTTTGACAGTGTTGTAATGACAAGAAATCCAGTTACAAATCAGGTACATCCTCCATTCCATTCTTCTTCCGTTCTTGCAATTTTGAACAAAGTTGTAATGTTGAAAACTTGGTAATGATGGTTGAATCTGGACTGATGTGAGGAATTGATACTTTACATTTTTTTTTGCAGTGAGAAACGCGATGTAGGATTGATAATGATTGAAGCATCGAGGTTGTGATATCCAATTTATTGAAGATGAAAGAGGGTGATGAAGAGTAGAGTAATTCTGGTGAAGGGGAGATTTAAAGAACATGAAGATGAAGTTGATGAAATTCGATTGGAGGAGTAATTTGCGGTGGTTGCAGAGAAGAGTAAGAACTGTGAAGAAGTTTCAGAAGATGATGAAGCAATATTGATGATTATGCGATTTCAGAGAGAATTGGAAGGTGAGTTTTTTTGTGTTGAATCATAAAATCATCCTCTTCCAATTGAATGATAATCTCCCTGTTATATAGATTTTCTGCTATATTGTTTAGAAGATGGGATTTGGTTAGAAACTGTTTAGAGTTTGTTAGGAGTTTGTTAGGAGTTTGGTTATAAAATTCTGTTATGGAATTAGTTAAAATTAGTTGTCAAAAATTCTGTTATGAGGAAGTTAGTTATTGGAATTGGTTAAAATTAGTTTGGAGGTTGGAGGAAGTATGTTAAGTTTGTGAAAGTTAGTTAAAAAAATGCTAGAATTCAGTTAGGACAGTTGAATGAGTTAATTAGAAATTGGTTAGGCGGTTAGAAGGTAGAAAATGTTAGAGGAAAAATGGGTCTAAACTTATAACTTCAACGATTACTTTGCAGTGAATGTTACGGGACATATATGACACATCTTCAATTTACAAATGGCACCCCGGACCCAACTTATTGGGCATATTCAGCATACTGCATTCCAAAAAACTGTCTCAAAAAGTATTCCTCATATGGTATTCGACTATTGAAAAACTTCCAGACAACAACTGCGAATCCAATAGTTGATAAAGGATTACAGAGCATTATTTGAGTGCTAACAGACCAAATTAAGAAACCACAGTACCCCGGATGACGAATAAATTTATAAATACCATGTGTAACCAATTGGTGACGTTCATCAGGACGAACCCTTATCATATGAGTAAAAGATTGCCCTGCTGTTATTATTGCCGTTTTCCTTATAATTTCCCCTACAACAACCAGTACTAGGCCTAAATCACTGATAACCCAATATTCCTTTAGCTCGGGAAAGAAAGTAACCTCAATTAAATATTCCAGCAATGAAAATACCATTGCTAAAAGATAGTGTTTGCTAATCAAAAGGGACTTCAAAGTTACACTTGACTTTCCATGAATGAAGGCGGCTAGAAAATATTCTGAAACATGAAAGAAGATAACTGCAATGAACATTTGAGACAATTGTCTGCAAGCAGTGTAGCTTAGGATTTCTGTCATTTTTGCCAAATGAATACAACAAGCTTGTCTTGTTTTAAGCCACAGAAAGACTTGGTTGCCTAAATCATCTAAGATATAAGCCAGGCTTTCTCACTGTTTCTGGCAGGTCACGAACAACTCCGGTTGCGTTTTCCGGCAAGTTCAATACGGTTCCAAATGGGTTGATTTAGGGTTTTCTTTCTTGAATAAACGCTGATTTAGTTTCTTTTTTCAGATAGTTTTATTCTTATTTTTGGCTTTTTAATCTTTCTATGCAGGGCTGAACTGGTTGCTTTTGTATTGGGTTCAAATTTTTCATTTAACTTACAAAATAAGTTTTCTTTAAAACTAGAAGGATCCCATGTCGGGGGTTTAAAGTACGTATCGTAATTTCAACCGATGGATGGCATCGCGAAGCTTCCTCAGCAACGTTGCCTGCTGACTTAGTAACTTCTCTTCTGGCATCAAATTGAACTGCATTGCACTGGCAAAGAACTGGAACCGAAGCCTTAGTTGTGAGATATTCTGAATTTCACCCAAATGTGAAAACAAACCAATCGTACCACCAACAAAGGCAGAGATAATCGAATACCATATTTGCAAATCCATGAAGTATATCAGCACAACAGGTAACCATAACATAACAACTGCAACTCTGTTGGTATTATTGAAAAACTCATGCCATTTATAATTAATGCCCCTAAGTTTCAATAGGGCCTTTGTAGCTTTGTTTTGTAATCTTGAAATGACATGTACTGTAACATGAGTGAATGAAAGACGCTCGAATGATTGAACTTGAGTAATTTGAATAATTTGAATGACCATGGATGGGAATAGTTCCGACTTGTAATAGAAATTTGATTTCCTTTGTAAATTTGTAGCCTTTTGTATATTTTGAGAATTATGTAGTCAAAGCAGAGGCTTGAATGAGATGTAACTGATAGAACCTGAATATGCTGAAACTTGCTACAATTCAAAATTCCATGTCTATTATTTATGAGCTTTTTTTTACAAGATGGAACCTCTTGAATTATGCCATTTCTAAACATTCTTTAAGTTTCTTAGCTTTTGGTAAATGGAGGCCTTGATCACTTTTTAGTCAAATTAAGGAATTTTACCCATCCGACCTCAAATTTAATCCATGGTACTCCATGATGAGTGTCTTATGTGTTTTCACAAGAACTTGAATCAAAATTTCCCTTGTATGCCATATTCCTATAAGAGCTTTGGTTCAAACAAACTTGTACACCATGCTTTGGATCTTAAAACTCAAATTTCGATGTTTGAACTTCCAATTTTAAACACCTCGCACCTCAAACTCGCATGAATGGAGACCCTTGACTTTTAACCTTGAATGATGACATATTTGTAAAAATGATGATGATTTGTACTTGGAATATGAAACTTTGATGACTGAGATGTCTTTTGTAACTTCGGTGTAATGACTTGAATTTGTAATGAACAAAACTTTATAACTTCTTGCATGACAAATTTCCAATTATTCAAAACATTTCTCTCATTCAGTTTGAGCTTGAATGGATACTTGAATGAACTTGAGACAAACATGATAAACACTCGAATGTTATTTAAATGAATCTTTTTATCATTTACCTTGGGATGAACAATAATATGGGATAATCTTGAAAATAACAACTTGAATCATGAAGAGATTTACTTGATACCACGTACTTTAATCTCAACTTATATTCATGTGCCATCTTCCTCCGCAAGAATTTATGAAATAAACCTTCGGGCATGCTATTTCCTTTTTTTATCAAGTTGAACCTTAATCCATGTTTGAAACCAAAGTTCTTGTACAAATATCCAAACAATAGCTTGTACCAATTATTCGTAATGCCTTGACTGTCAAGCAACCAAATTTACCATACAAAATATCTTGAATCATGACGTCCCCAATCCTAATTGATTAACTTAAGGATAGATGAATTTAACGCAACAATGACATAGTCAACAACCTGTAATGCAAGCATCATATACATCCTGGATTGATAACAGATCTTGATCCTTTAGAGAGATCTTAATACACCTCTGGTGTTGACAAAACCTTGACCAAATGATAAGCACAATGATAGAATGAGGTGTTTTGAATCATGTACACGAGATCACAACCTTACGTTATTGACAGGAATACCCTGCAACCTATTGTTCAGCAGAAGATAATAGTCTTGTAGCTTGATAGAGAAGAAATTCAAGTTGAACATTGAAGCAAAACCCTAATTCCACAGCTTGCTGCCTGAATAAGAAATCATCCTTTATTGGATACGAGCGTCTTAACCACTGGGAAACCCTAGTATCGCACAACCACTGGACTTTGAACCTCAGAGCTATATTGAATGAAATGTATGCCATGTTAGTGACCTAATGAAATAGATGCAGATGAATGCAAAAGTCTAAGCCAAAATAAAAGAAATTAGGAGGGAAAATTTTGGGGTGCAACACTGCCTCCAAACATTTGCAATTTTTCTTAAATGTTCTTCACAGATTCTATATCCGACGCATCATGAGGCCTACCATGTGCCCTCAAGATTCAACCATTGGATCTCCAGAAGGCTAGATATGAAGGCCATCATTGGAGGACCGTAGTACACCTTGGTCAACGTACAACATAGGAGCATAGAAGTCAACATGGGTCAATGGACTTTGGGCCCAAGAGCTTGCTACACCCCTCCAATTTGCTTATTACAAGGCCCATATTCTCTCTTTTGCTTTTTATATTTTCTCTTTTATTTAATTCATTTAATTTATTTTCACTAACACAAAAATTAATTCTTTTTTTATATAAAAAAAATCATAAAATCAATTTTTTTTCAAATTAGATTTAGGTTTTTTTTCTTAATCAAAAATTAATTTAATTAGTTTATTAAATTTTAGGGTAACTTTAATTCTTTTGTAAATAAATTAAAATAAATTAGAAACTAGGGTTTTTGCTTAATCCAATTTCTTATTTTCTTTTCTTAAAAAATAACCGAAATACAAATATAGGTCAAAATTAAATAATTTTCTTGATTTAAATTAATTAGTAATTAGGTTTGTACATATTTAATTTAAAACCTTATTTTCTTAAAATAATCAAAAACAACCAAAAAATAAATCTTTTCTTTTAATTAGGGTTAGACGGGGTCAAAACCCTAATTTTACTCATCCTCGATTCATCGCGCGTGTTTACCCTTTTTTATAATATTGATGTAATTGCTCATGGGATGTAATAGATTAATTAGGACTTTTTTCGTTTATTCATCGTTTTTGCGGGTTTTTTTGGCTATGTAATTAATACCCGAAGCCTTGTAATAGTGTAGCTTTATTTTCTTGCACTTTAATTCTCGCAAATATTAACTGTTAGATGTATGATGTTAGGGTTGCATGACAAGAATGTATGTTAAATTTAAAATGGTTAGCAAACCCTAAATGTGCAAAGATAATAACTTGAAATTGAATCACTCGCACATGCACACTCCTAGGGTATACTCTCACTTCGGTTGCCTTCGGTAAACGATCATTAAGTATAGGGTATTTTAGTGGTCGCTCTCTTGTCTAAACAAAGATCAAATGTCCCATTCGGAAATGTTACCTCGGAAAGGTTGCCTCAGAAATGTTGCCTCAAATATTGATCTTAAGACATTAGGGTTATTACTAAGACGTCCTAACATTGCTTTAGTGATCGTACGTCCCTTTCGAATTGACCCTTAAAACTCCAATGACGGTGCTGCCTACTCACTAATAGTGGGATAGCACTGTCTAAAGGAAATAAGAACATAAACATTCTCTTTTTTCGAGTAGGTAGATACTAGTAGGTACTTGCTCAAATCAAACTTTTTCACACCAAACACTTTTCAAACAAAGTTTTCAAAATAACTTCGTAACACTCTTGAAGACAGAAGCAATGGTTAAATCGAAGTAAAACAAAAACTTTTTCAAATCAAACACACACAAGCAATTTTGAAAATGATGAGAAAGTACCTAAGAGCCCGTGGAAAACCACGGATAGAAAGGGTGCTAATACCTTCCATTTCTATAATCTACCCCCCGTACTCAAAATCTCGAAAAAAGGAATTTTTTTGTGCTTTTTCCTTTCCAGTTGGATAAAATAAAAGTCGGTGGCGACTCTTGCTTACAGCGACATTTTGCAAACACAAACGCAAAATGCATACCAGTATTAAACAGTCTGGTTCTGCCACCGTATCACACAAACCAATCTCCCATTTGGCTCGTGCGTTTCAAGTCTTGATCATCAAAACACCTTACCTACTTGATATCTAACTAATCCAGACCTTCATCCTTGTACTGTAACCCCTTCTCCATCATCTGCCATTTTTGTTTTCAAATCTTCCAGGTTGACTTGGCCAAGGATATTCAGACACTTTCAAAGTAAGGCAAGGGTTGGAATACGCTCAGGGAAGTTCAAGGAAGCTCAAGCAAGCATCAAGCCTCCATAAAACTCACTCCAGCTCCATCCATGATTTCAACTGAATGAGGTAAAATCTCAACTTTTATTTCCTTGTACAGGCAACCATTGGCCATGATTTGTGAATAAACAATATAGTCCTCATTACAACAAAGTTGTACATACATTTATCTTGAATTTATTTGACCTGAGTTGAGAGAATTTTGAACTTGAAGATTCTGGAAAGTTTAGGTTAAATTTAGTGCTTTTAAAATTCTTTCTGATCTTTGATTGTTAACTTACATAACTTATATAGTTAGAATCGTGAGATCAAATACTACAACTTTCATGTTATGAGTTTTCATTTTCATGGAAGAATGAGAGAGTTACAGGACATCTGACCAGCTTGGGGAAGAAGATGAAGTACAAGGCAAGGATTTTGTTCATGTTATATTATTTTCGTTTCACTTAAATCAACGGATGTATAGCCACCCCAGTGGCAAAGTAACATGCTGGTGAGACCCATGTCTTGGGTTCGAATCTGGGCGCTACTTTTGTTTTTACACATTTTTCCTTCTTTCCATTTTTACTATTTTTTGCAGGTTTGGGCTTGGTTCTTTGGGCCTAGCATTTTTACTAACATACTGCTTCCAGTTTTCCTACAACACCCCCTTGCCCAACCTTTTTTTTGTATTTTTATTTTATTTGTTTTATTTTCATTTTTTAGTTTATTAAATATTTTCTTTAAATGCATAAAAAATCCCAAAAAATATAATTTTGACAATATTGCATTTTTATTTTAGTTTAGTTTATTTTTCATATAAAAATATATTTTATCTTTAATATATATTACTTATTTTTCTTAATAAACTTGTAAAATATAATTAGAATATGTTTAATTTTAATTTATTTATTTCCTTTTCATCCCATACTTATAAAATATTTATTTTTGCATATATAGAAACTTTATATTTTTTTATACAATATTATTTATTATGTTAACATAAAAAATACATAAAAAATAATGCATATGAACTTTATTTTTAAAAAAAAATAGAAATTAGGGTTAACTTTTACTAAGAATTAATTTCTTTAATATTTTTTTTAGGATTAGGTTAAATTTTCTTTTCACATAAAAAAAACAAAAATCTTTTCTTGCATGCACATAATATTGCATATTTAAATATTGTATATTATTTATTCTAATATTCGTACAAATTCAATTTGGTTATAATAATTTATTTAGGTTTACATTCTTGCAAATACCCATTCAAATTTGTATTCCCCCCTCTCATAAAATTGTTGTAATAGCTTAGTAATATTTATATTACGCAATTTACCGCTTTACATGCCATGATTAGTAATTAGGGTTTGTATGATAAGATCAAAACAAAGCAAAATAGAAAACCCTAAATACAAGATA